CCAGTCTGTGGTTACGCAGGGTGCAAATTGGCTTGCTTTTGGCCGCGTCTTCGTGGCGCTCGGCAAGCTCCGGCCTTGCTAAACAGCAGGCCCGCTTACGACGTGCCAAATATACTGGAATCTTTATGTCATTTGGGGAGGAATCAGAGGAGAGGACGCGCAGGTAGCAACAACTCCCGGCTGGAGCGGGGCTGGATGAGGCTAGCCGCCCTCCAAGTCACAAAGTTCAGCCCGGATCGGTGTCCTGGGGGTCGAGGCAAAGAAAGGAAGCTGGAACCCTCAGGACCACAGTTGTGAGGGCGACCACTGTCAGCTGTGGAGGAGACAGGTCTGCGCGGGGAGGTGCAGGTGTTGGTGGTGGATGGAGGTTAAATGCTGTGTCCTTAAATTGTCGTGTCCAGAACAGCGCAGAAAGTAGTGGGAGGACTGGAAAGCCTCCGGGGAAGAAAGCTTACCAGACCTCATTCCTACCAGCACTGAGGGCAAATGGGATGCCGTAGGTGGGACAAAAAGCAACTATTCCCTTTCAGAAACACTGAGCCAAAGCCACACAAATTAGAAGCTGCCTGTGCGTATATTTATTTTGCTGTTTTATTGGTGAAGTTGGACATTCCGGGAGGCTTGCTGCTTCTGCTTCTTTTTTCCCCTTTACAGCTCTCTCTGCCAAGGTGGAAATTTTTTGACAGAAAAACGGAAACTCAGAAGTGACTTGCCTTATATAGTATTATTCCCATATGTAGACCCATCTTTTCAAACAAGACGAGCTTTTTTTTTTTTTTGCTTCCTAAGTTGTCTATAAAATAATGTAATTGGAAAAAAAAATAAGGTTCAACCCCACGCAGAGGGGTTGCTGCTCCTTCTTAGGGCGTGAGCTGATGTTCTGAGAGGTTGGAGGGCTGCTAAGCCACCCTAGGCATATTGAGGATTTCATACCTGTCAATTCTTGTGTTCAACTTCAGCACCATTCAGATATTCCTCAAAAAAGGCTGAAACTTAAAAGCCTAAATTTTGCTCAGTCTTTGTTTGTTAGTACATTAATGTTCAAAAAACATTGTGTCAATAAATTAGAGAACATGTATTCACTCAATAGACAATAAATATGGCCTACTAGTGCCAGATGTCCCTGAGAATCTAATGATCACCAAATTTCACATTACTGATATCTTCAAAATTATGATGAACATATTTATTATCTTGATTGTGGTGATAGCCTCACAGGTATATACACATATGTCAAAATGTATCAAGTTCACTATAAGTATGTGCCTATATATATATATATATATATATATATATATATATATATAC